CGGCGGCCGGGGCAGGGGAGGCCCGTTCTTTCCGAGTCTTTAAAGAAAATTGCAATTCCTCGTAAGTGACGTCCTCGCCCCTCTCCACTCCCCCTCTTCCCCCGGCATCGCGTTTCTTTCCTCTTTCTTTCTTCTTCCACCACTCTTAGATGATTAAAATTCCCCTCCCCCTCCTCTGTCCAAGACCGTGGAACGAGATTGCAAAATAGCTGTTTAGCGCTCCAACGCCGACCAACCAACGCAGCAATGCGTTATTCCGTTTTCAGATACTCGGTTCTCATCCTTCCTTCGATTATGATATTTTGATTTTAGAGAGTTCGCCATCTGCGCTAGATGCTTTTAGTTCTTCTTGAATTTATTCGTAGAATATTATAGATTGTTGAATTAGACGGTACGGAGACGACAGAGAAATCATTTAGCCTCAAAAATTAAACGTACGCCATTTACAGTGAAACTTGCCTCGAAACTTACGTCGAAATCACTTATTTCTCTTATTTTTGTAGTACGTGATTCTCACGCACGTGCCTTGGCTTGGGTCGCTTCGTATATAAAACGAATCCGATCGTGCGAAGAAATTTCTCTAATTTCACAAAGCATACGTGAATTTCCACGTATAGTATATTTCATCGTACAAGACGCGGCAGTTATTAAACGAGTCGAGCGTGATTCAAAGTTGTTTATACGAGGCGCGAAATTAATATCCGTATGTATATACACGATCTCGAAATTTGAAAAACGCAAACGTTTTAGCGCAATCAATGTGATTAAATATGTTGATCTTGTAATTCGGTGATTGATTGGCAAATGCGTGCAACATGGTTAATTGGTGGCAATCGATGTATCACACGGGTTAAAGGAAACCAACTTTCATTCGCTTCAACGATTTTATTTTGGCGAAAATTCGCGTAAATAATAAAAGCGTACGGATATTTTTAAGGAGAAATATTTTCATCTCCTGCTTGACTCGTGTCGCTTCGAATATAGGTGAACCCGTGAAAATTTCTTTCAAACGTGATTATTCCAAATATTGGGATAAAATCCTCGGCAGAAATTACCGCCTACTTTGAAGTTTTAATTACAAAAATGTATCCCAATTTTTTTTTTTTTTTCCCCTCCTTTCTTTTGCCGCTGCAATGTACTTTTAATCACGGCATCCATGTTCCTAGTTGAGATGATAAATTTATTTCACCGGATCATGAATATTTATATCCTTTACACGAGTCAATTTTCGTTATCTCCTATGAAATTCCCGAATAATAAGCTATCGTTACTTTAACGTGGAAATTCCAACTCGTGACGAAATCTTCAATTTCGGGGTCGCGAACTTTTTTTTTTTCCTAATTGCAAAACGATCCTCCTCCTCGTTCGTTTATATTATTTCCGAAAGAAGAGAAAATATCGTAGAAAAATTCGCGAAATTTAAATCATCTTACACCGTTTCGAAAAATATCGAATTACGTTCGGTAAAATTTTTATTTTTATCGAAAATCAAAAGAAAAGAGTGGAGAACGGATTTCCTTATGTTCCAATTCGATATTTTGCTTAACGCGAATTAAATGAAAGAAAGAGAGAATTGACGCGGCGGCTTCTTTTATATAATATTCTAACGGGTGAATTTTCAAAACAAACAGGTTTAATTATAATTGAATTAAATATACGTTCAAATAATGAGAATTAATAATTGATTAAAAAATGTGGAAAGGGAGGTAAGTCGATTAAAAAGAAATTAATAAAGCGATGACCGACTGCGTGTTCTTTTATTCTTGCGTGATAACGTTGAATGAAATATTAAGTTAAACAAGATATTAAAATATAGATAAAAGATAAATAAAACTGGTGTGTATAAAAAGAATATATATATCGCACCGGATCCGTTAGGGAAAGGGAAGAGTTTTGAGGAAAGGACTTGGACAAAGTTTCGGATTTTCAACTCGATTTACTCCTTCGCCGTGTGTACTTGCTTTTATGCTAGAGTCTGTTAAAGCACGATGCTTCGTTTACTCAGGTTTACACTGTTACATTGAATTTTGAGCACTCATATTAGCCGTTCGTAGTCGCTGTTTGACTTCCATACACGTGTTTACACGCCACTGCGGGAATCTAAATCGAATCAACCGGCTTCCACTTTATTTATTTTTACACCTTATATTTTGATTTATATTTGAGATCGGTTTACAATTTTTTTTTTTTTTTTCTACTTTATTCTATATACGTATTATTAAATTTTTATTTCTCGCATTTTCGAACCGCACACTTTTATTTATATTTATCTGTTTGTTTTTACATTCTCGTATGTTTTATAAATTATCGACCATCGTTTCCTATTTTCTTCATTCGAAACATGTTTTTTTCGCCACTTTTCATTTCATTACGATTACTTTTTTATCGCCGCAATATTATTTTGTTCAAAGGTAACGAAAAATATGAAAATAATTCTTTTTATGCGAGGGCAGAGAATTTCTTCTCGTTCGATGCTTTACCAGGGATCGATAAAATTCGCGAAAAACGAGAGTACACATCTCTCGAGAATCAATTTATTCGAAGACAAATACTCTTATATCATCGCTTCTCCTATTTTTATATTTCCAACATCTGTTTGATCCGCCAAATAAAATGCTAATTTCAATTATTATCATACTATCTAATTCTTAAACAAGTAACTCGTTCCCTTCCCTAATTACTTTTCGTATAATAATTATCGAAATAAATATAATAAAAAATCTTGGCTCGAATCGACTACAACGTCGAATAATCTTTCGATTCCTCAAATATTATCACGATCTTGTCGACGGGGGAGGACACTCTCATCGGGGACAATGTCACCTCGTAAAAAAAAAAAAAAAAAAAAAAAAAAAAAGGAAGCGTGGAAATGATACGGGGGCGCATAAAGTACCGCAGTGGTGGAGCGAGCCGGCATATTGGAAACCATCCAATAACCCACTTGGCTTGGTGTATCGTTGCCACACGAGAGAGGTAACAAACGCAAAAGGAAGGGGATGACGTTGCCGGCCAGCGGGGGGAAAGAGCGCGGGATGGAAGCAAACAAAGAGAGATACGGCGAAATAAAAAAAAAAAAAGATACGGGGAGAATGGAATAAACAAAGAACGATGCGAAGAGAAAAGAGTGCCCGAGGCGCGAAACGAGAAATTGTGGAGGGCGAACGATAGGCTGCGAAAAAAAGAAGGAAGGAAGGAAGGAAGGAAGAAAAAGTCGAAGAAAAGGATAAATCGTCGCGTGCCGGGTGAAATTCATTGGCCGCGAATTTCGTTGGGAATTTATCAAAGAATTTATCGCGTGGTTTCGAGAGGGTAGAAAATACGGTGGACAAATTTTCGACGAACCGTTTCTACGATACGAGTAATGCGTTAATGTAATTGTATTTACGCGTTATTGAAATTTTCGTTACGCGCTCAGCAATGGGAGGAGTGGAGGGGGAGGATAGGGAAAGGGAGAGGTTTTAAAATTCATGTAATCGAATAAAACGCGCGAGAAACGTCCACGTGACTTGAATGCTACGTGCCATCTGTTCGCGACAACTGACGCTTCGCTGTATGAAAAAAAAAATAATATATATATATATATATATCGTTGATTATGATTGAAGATTTTATGTTAATCGAAAATGAGAGAGAGAGAGAGAGAGAGCACGTCGATCTAAATTTCGATCGATTAACATTTATATGCGAATAACGGTGCGAATAATATTGTAAATATAAATAAAATTTAACGTTTATTAAATTTCAATTAGAGCGTTCGCGATGAATAGTTATATAGCTTATAAATATACGAAAAATTTAATTTCAGATATCGACGAGTAATTAAGATTTCGAGTTCTAGAGCGGATGATTTTTTGATTAAATCTGCATCGAGTTATTTAAAAAAAATGAGAATTTTTTTGAATCCCGAAAGACTCGATACCCGTAATTAAAATAAAAACTTTCGTAAAAATTCGGATTCGGCCATTTTTAAATCGAATTCTCTATTTATATTTATCTTTAAAAACAAAATCGCGGCCGAAAGAACACGGAAAATTACTTTTCACCACCCATCTCCTCCTAAATAAATTTACGATACGTGTTTCTCTTTCTCTTCAGACGAACGAAATTTCAAACTCGAGCCACCTTGCGACCCGATAATGTAATTTCAATGCGCTTTCAACCACGCGTATTCGATCACTTCCGATCACCGGCCATCACGAATCCTTTATACGCAGCTCTTAATAATAACGCAACGGAGGCCGCAACAAGAATCCGAAATGCAGATTATGGCGAATCGATTCCCGTCTGCATTTTAATTTCACTGGCGGGATCTTGGCCAAGAAAGAAATGGAATCGTCTAGTGGCTCTTTCACCGCCGGCCAACCGGAATTCGCCCCTTTTTTCCCCTCTATCCTGCCGACCAAGATTCAGAAATAAGCGCAAAGTGCTTTCATTAGAGCTAGCGCGTGAATTTCTCGTTGGATGCGTCCTGTTCGAAGCTCGATCCTCTGTCGGTTACCATATATACACCGTATCTTTCTCGGTTATATGTTTTTTTCTATCTCTCTCTCTCTCTCTCTCTCCCTCTGTCTACGTTTAAACGTATGAAAACTGGAAGAGGGGAAAAATTGGAAGACGAATGAACCACGAATCTACTTTCGAGAGTGGATCTTGGAGTCTTTGGAGTACTTTGTAATGAAAATTATTCATCCCTCGAAATCGAAAGATAGGCGCTTACTTTAAATAATTCGCGAGTATACATCGATGTAATTTTGTCGCTTTCGCTTTCGTTATTTTCCTTTTTCTTCTTCTTCCAAGTTGATTCAATTCGAACTTGAGGTTTGCTTACACTCGGTGAAAAAATCAAACGCGTTTGCATTTTACAATTAATTTCCACGTTTATATAATACTAAATATAGCTAAAAGTGGACAAGTGTATCATGCTCGTTCTATTTTCTCCATCTACGTGGAGGGAAGTGCAATACACCCTGATGAAAGATTGTTAATAATTGCTCGCTTACCCTCCAAGGTTCCGCTATAGGCATGCATCGGGTCGAAAGCAATTTGTCGGCCGTTCGATCCCTCGAAGACGACATTTTCGTGGAATAAGCTCGTGTCTCTGATAAGCCTCATCTTGAACACCCTGAAACAAAAATAAAAATTACAACAAGATCGTATTCGTTGCAACAATAACGAAAAATACATTAAATATCTTACATCGATAAGATACAAGATTTATCCAGATTCGATTATCAATCGGCAATATATTGTACAACTTGTTGAAATATTCGCATGCACTTATATAAAGTTTCACGTTAAAAATTGGACAAACGATATATATATATATACGTATAGCGCGGTTTCGATTGAAAATAAACGGGATAAAAATAATTTAAACGGATAGATAGATATATGTTCTCGCGATATATCTGTGTAACAAACGTTTGCCGATGCACGATGCTTTCACGAAATCGCGTTATTGTAAATGTAATTCAAGCCGATTTATTACATTTGAAGCAACGCCGCGCCACACCGCTAATATCGGTTTTGAACGAAATAAAACGTGGAATCCAATATAAGGGATAAAAAATTTTCTAAACATTTGCACCAATCCATCTAATTCTATCAAATTCGATCCATTCGCTACTTCCAATACGAGAATCGTCTACAAATCTTCCTTTCTCGTTCACGATGTATATCCCTTTCGTTTCGTTGTGCTTGCGAGATCCATTTTCACAATCTCAATATTAAAGACGTAATTATCATTAACGTTATCGTTATTTAATCGCAATATTTACTCGATAAAGATGAAAGATGCAAACAGAGCGATAGTTCCGCCATTAACCAAACTTGCCAGGTGTGTCGCATAATAATCTCGACACGGGCCACACATTGTAACCGGTCCCTTACGTGTTCCAGATAGTCGCGCGCACGATTTGTACACGGAACCGTGTACAACAATCGATAATCCGATCCTGGAAGGGGTGGATGTTTTCACCTAATTATCGTCTCTAAGCGCAACGATACGGCGGTGGTCTCTTTTCACGGTTAATGCCCTCTCCCCCTCCCCTGATTTCGATCATTCATCGCGGAGAAAGCTGTTCCAGCGTTTGCGCATCGCGATAATGTAACTAATGAGACATTGAAAGCAACGCGCTGCACGATTAATTCGCCGCTGATGAAGTGGTTATCCAACTGTTTCGCCAACTGCTCTCAACTGAAACAGGATCGATATATAT